TGGGAGACAGGCGCGCGCCAGACGCGGCCGAGCCGAGCACCTCTTTGCCGCTTTCCTCCTCCACGATCTCATCCGATTCCTCTTCGCTGGACGAAGGGTCCAGCATGGTGGCACCTGGGGAGCGGGGTCCCTGGAGCCCCCGGCTTGGAGTGCAAAAGGCGGGGGGCGCTGGAGGCAGCCGGGGGTCAGCTCTCCCGGGTGGGCGCTTCTCCCCAGGTCAGGGAGCGAGCGCGCCGCTGTTCAGCCTCGGCCGCCGCCGCGACCGCTTCCTCCGCCCGGCGATCGTGAGCCGGGCTCAGACCCAGGAGCGCGAGGGGAGGAGGGGAAGGGAGAGGTGCGTCCGTGGACCCGAGGTGGGCAAAGGGGAGAATCAATTGCGAGCCCCGAGCCCGCAGCCGGATGCCATCTGCAGCCGCTGAAGGAGGCGCCTCCAGAAAAGATGCCGAGTGTTGCAAGCTGTCGTTTCAGCCAAGAGCCGAAGAGGCATCTTGCCGATTGGGGAGGGAGCGGCGCTTACGTGTTTATTGGTTTAACTCTCCCGTGTCCGCGGCGTAAAGGGCTGCTGCAGAGGGCTGGAGGGGGATAGAGCGCGGAGTGTCCCCAAAGCCTCAGAGCCTCACTACTTCTGACCCTAGTGCCTTGCCACCCTCCTTGTCCCCTGTCTTTTGAGGATAACTTCCTCCTTGATCTCCAGCTTTCATTGCCTCGACCCCTCTTCCCCTCCCGCGGACAAAAAGTTCTTGGGGAGGGAGAAATAGAGAAAGCAGTAATGATTTCTCGCCAGCCGAGGGTGAGCCGTCTGTTTGGAGACGCTAAATCCAGAGGTTTCACTTAAAAGGAAGTCCTCGAGATCCCACACGTGAAAGAAAGGGTCCATCTCCTACCCGCTGGTTTCCTTACACCTGGGGCGTGTGTTGGGGCGGGGGGGGGGGGACAGGGAAGCGTGTTTGTCCCACCTGTGTAAACTCTGATTCCAGCAACTTGTTCCACGTGCGCCCACTGTAATTAAAATAAAAGTGAATCAGATTTTTAGTGGATTGGTGTTTAAGTAGACAACGTAGCTCAACCGTTTAAGTAGAATCTTCGCCCTCGCCAGAAAAAAAAAAGCTATGATGAATCTTTAAATCTCAAGAACTGGGATTACTTCCTGCTGAGGTAAACCCGCCTCGAAACAGAAGTGTTTCTCAGCTTTTCTATTCTGGCACGCTAGAGGATCTGGGTGGAGGAGTAGGGACCCCGAGATCAGACAAAGACACCCCCCAGAACTCAGCGGCGTCAACGTCTAATGAGGACTGTCGCACTATCTTCACCTCTGCCTTTCGGGTAAACTATTAATACAAAGCAGCAGATGGTGCCTTCCTTCCCCCTGCTCCTTTCACTTAGGCCAATAAACCCGGGAAACGAGGGAGCTGGCCAGCGTGCTGAATCTAATGGGCGAACCGCAGAGGGGTTGAAAACCAACACAGGTCATCTTCAGACTTAGGCTATCCAGTGACCTCTCCACCTTAGCCCACTCCATCGCCTATATTGACGCATTTTCTAGTTCTCTAGTTATGCGTAGAAACTCGTGGGAGTGATTGAAATAGTGTAGCCTGTGTTCAGAGTTTACATTACATTTGTCTTTACTGTAATTTTCCAATTTACCCTGAGTTTTACAGTAGGCTTTAATATCAAAGTGAAACTTCCTGAATAACCTGTTTAAGACCTGAAGATGAACTTTGAGCAACATCTATTTTCACATCAGCTTCAACAATTCTGTTTGATCCTTTGAGTTAAATACTTGGATGGCTTGTATTTCACTTTACCACCATACTCACCCCAAGGACATGGTTTCTGTGGCCGCCAGATGTTCTCTCTCAATTTAAAATTTAAAAAAATGGAATAATATGGGAATTATTACAATTTGGTGGTCCTCAATTTTGATTCTTCTAAAGAAGTAAAAGATATTCAAATCACGTTATACTGGTTTTCCTAGAACAGAAAATATAGCAGGCCAGTCAATCAGCAGCCTTTATCCAGCACTTTTTAATTAAGTGAAAACTGTTCTAGGTGTTTGGAGAAGATGGAATTTTCAAAACATATTATCTTAAAAAGTTTATAATCTCCTTTGGGAGATACAACATAAACATGTAAAACAATATTAACAACACTTACTTCAAGACAACATATCAACAAATCTAGATCAGTAACCTACAAAAATCTTATGTAAAGGAAGCAACTTGAACCAGGCTCAGTGGCTCAGCCTGTAATCCTGTGCCTTCGGGAGGCTGAGGTGAATGGATTGCCTGAGCCCGCAGGTTTGAGACCCGCCTGGCAACTTGGCGAGACCTCATCTCTACAATAAATCAAAAAATTAGCTGGGCATGGTGGCACACCTGTAGTTCCAGCTACTTGGAAGGCTGAGGCGGAAGGATCGCCAGAGCCCAGCAGGTCGAGGCTGCAGTGGCCGGGAGTGGCCACTGCACTCCAGTCTGGGCGACAGAGTGAGACTCCAACTCAAAAAAAAAAAAAAAAAAAAAAAGGAAGAAACTTAAAGTAAGAGAATCATATATTTCTCAAAGAAGAGAGTTAAATTTTAAAGGAGAAACCCAGTGCCAAACTTGGTGGCTTGTGCCTGTAATCCCAGCTACTACAGACTAGAAGGATCTCTTGAGGCCAGTTCAGAAGTTCGAGACCCCTCTCTCTAAAAAAATAATATTCCAGCCTGGGCAACATAGCAATACTTCCATCTCTACAAAAATCAAAATACTAGCTGAGTATAGAGGCACTTGCCTGTAGTGCCAGGTACTCTGGAAGCTGAAGCACCTAAGGATTTATATCCTCTCTTGAACCCAACAGTTCAGTGCTGCAGTGAGCTATGATTGTGCTACTGCACTCCAGCCTAGGCAACAAATCAAAACCCTGTCTCAAGATAAATGAAACAAAATAGGAGAAAGAAAACATATAAATGGATGGTGAAAATAGAAAATATTACACGTGAAAAAATGATTTGCAAAGCCATATTGTAATAAGGCAAGGAACCAAGTAAGGTTAAAGAGTTTTATGGAGATAATGTATTAGTAGGTAAGGGTGAAGGGAGGAGGAACAAAAGCTGAATTTACAATCCATTCTGCAGCTATAATTCATTTGGATAAATGGAGAGACCATATTTAGAATACAAATAAATGAGTTAGTTAGGGGCTATGTGGTGATTTGGGGGAGGGGTTGTTGTTGAGGGTCAAAGGTTATTTACTGCTTAAATATTTTTTCCTTAAGTAACTTTAAGCATTTAAATATTATCACTTCAGATGCTGGTGGCAGAGTAACCATGAATTCCGTCTACAGAGTCATTTGGAATTTCTCAATTACTGTAATAAAGTTTTGTTTAGTTTTGTATTTTTATAAATTCCTTTGGGGTTATGTGCTTTTTCCAATCACAGTCATTAATATAGAAATTTAACCTTTTGTTAATCATATAAATCTATGTTTTGGGTATTAAATATAACATCACTTAGATAAATCTAACATACTTCTCAATTCTCCTCCCCCACAAGAGTATTCAAAGAGGTTTAAACAGACTTTACCAGAAATACCTGTCTATATATTTTTTCAAATGGTGTGCATTGTTTTGGTTTTTTTTACACCCTTTTAAAGACATCTCTTACCTTTGCTGAAAGTCAATTCAATGTTTTTGGAGATATGGTTACATTTACTATGTTTGTTATTGTTGACAATAAGATACACCAATCAGAACTTCTTAGGTATCAGAATTAGGAGAAGTGGCTTCCCTAAATGTGCATTTTCATGTACAGGAAAAAAAAATGACCACAAAACAATCCAAAGTCTCTTAACTTTTGTCTACTTCTTATTACCATCCATATTCTTATTTTAAAAAATACAATTTCACCATAGATCCTGATACACCTAAGGATTTATATCCTCAGGCTGTTTTAGGGGCTTGCACGTTTGTCCCACATTCAGTTCTGCTTTGTAGGAAACTTGGGTAACCTCAAGGTGATGGAATAAATTTTAATCATCCACCTGGAGACCACATCATGAAAGTTTAAGTCATAATATTGAATTTTTGTAATCCCGCTCACCAAAAGTAAAGTCTAGAGAAAATGAAAATGACAGACACTAAACCAGTGTTTTCTAATCTAAACCTGAATGATCTCATTCTTCTCTGAAGTGTTTACTGTGATGTGTCAAAGGCCACAAGTGTGAGAAAATATCTGACTCATTGGAAGTCGATAGACTTTAGTGAAAAACAATCATTTCTTCATGTCACTGACGAAACATGTTTCAATCAAATATAACTGAACTTAATGCTCATTTTGATTTTCTGAATTTACTACTAGAAGATAGTTTAGCCAGACTAAACCTTTTTAAAAAAAAACTCATAAATTTCATAGTATAGATGTAATGTTTTCATCTAATCAATATTTTTTAATTTTCTAAATTATAAAATTAACCCACAGTCTTCAAAAATGGATAATCTGAACCTTATAGCATGCCTTATGACTTAGGTCAAATGAAATGCTTGAGCTCTCAACCCAGGAAGTTCTGCCTTTGCCACTTAAAAACAGAGTTATCCTGAGCAAATTGTTTAATGACTCAGACTCAGGGTCCTCATCTGTAAAATGAGACTAGTAGTACACATGTCCCTTGGAATGTGATGAAAAAAAGTAGATAGATGATATATAAAAAATAATTTT